GGTTGCTTGCTTTATTCTTCTGAAGGAGCTGTCTGGGGTTCTCCTGATGTGGTGATTTGGGCTCGAGGTGTGGCTGTTGAGGCTCCCTGGTGGTGGGAAAGCCCTTGCTTGGGGCTGCCTGTGGAGTCTCGAATACTGCACGCATGGCAGTTTGGTTTTAATCCCAGACCTTCTCCACTTGCCCAAAATTCAATTAAACAATGTGCTGAAGCACATTGTTTCCCTCTACTCTTTGTTCTGGATGAGGGAAGTGGCCTTTATTTAAATCCTGCCCCTGGCCAAGACCATCCCTGGATTTGAGGAAGGTGGGATGTGCTGGGGCTGGAGCCTCTCTGGAGGTGCTGTGGGCACCGAGGCCCCTCCTGAGCTGCCCCAAAGCCCCTCAGGGGCTGCTCTGGCCTGTGGGGACAGCAGGGAGGCCAAGCTGGGCACAGGCTGGGGCTGTCCCAGACCTGCTCTGCTCACCCAGCTCTGAGCAGACCCACGAGTGCTGGGCTCTGCACCCTGTGCCCGGGCCAGCCTGGCAGAGGCAACAATTCCCTGCCAGGGAGGGAATCTGGGCAAGGAAAGGTGCTGAGCTCGGGGCTCTCTGGCTGGACCAGTGCAGGGTGTCCATCCTGCCACATCCCCCTGTGCAGGACATTCCCAGTGTGGCCGAGTCCTTTGGCACCACTGTCCCCATCCCAGGCCTGGGCGGGTTTTCCAGCCAGAGGATGGAGAAGCTCCACCAGGAGCCTCTGGGGCTCTTGGCCACATCTCCACATGCAAAACTTTATTGAGAATGATGCCTTGTGAAGGCTGCCCTAGAGCAGAGGCTGGACAGAGTTAAAGAATAAAGCAGGGATTTATTAAAAGGCCTCAATGGTTCCACCTTGGGCAGCACAACACAAAATGGGCACCATATGCACAACCACTCACGGCGTCTCTCACGGTGATCAGTTCTGCTCCATTTGCACCTTGCAGTTCATTGTCCCATTCCAGCTTTAGCCCAGGCAGTCCCACCCTGCTTGTTTTTCTCTCTCCAGCACACGGTGTTTGTGCTCCTGAGCTGAGATTTGGATCATTTGTCCTTGGTGCCCAGCTGGAGCAGGAATTGTTTTGTCTCCCTGCTCTGTGCACAGAGCTCACCATCCCCTCATATGAAGCCCAGACCTACACACCAAAGCAGCTCAGAATGTCAAAAATATAAAAGCTAAAACCTGAGGCATCAAGAAGAGGGAATTGAAGCTCCTGCAGTTAACAAGAAGACAATACAGGAGGGATACAAGACACAGCAAGTGGCTCTCACAAATCCCCCAAAGGACAATCCTGTTACAACTGAAATGTTCCCCAGGTGCTGCACAGCCTGGAATGTGATGTTCATCAAAGTCAATGGCAGTTAATAAAGTCAGTGGGGGTTTTGTTGCATCTCCTAACCCAGACAGAATGAACGATTGCAGGCATTTTGGCCCCAGTGGTTGTTTGTCCATGTCCAGAAGCAATGGAAGGAGCATTTGGGACTGGAGGAACCCTGCTCTGCTGCTCTAATCCTGTGCAGGCCAGCAAGGGGAAACCAGAGCACCAAAGCTTCCTGCACACCTGCTGGTGCCATGCCATGCCATGCCATGCCATGCCATGCCATGCCATGCCATGCCATGCCATGCCATGCCATGCCATGTAGTAAACCCCTCAGGTTTAGCCAGGGCCCCTTGGAGAATAGAATGCTGACACAGCGGCAAAGAAGTTTCCTGTCCCCAAAGACATCCGCCTTGTACCTTATCCCTATAGCCATGTAAGGCAATATTGTGTTAAACCCTAC